GTGTGTGCATGTGTGTGTGTGTATGTGTGTGTGTGGTGTGTGTGGTGTGTGTGTGCGCACATGTGTGTGTGTATGCATGTGTGTGTGTGTGTGTGTGTGTGTGGTGTGTGTGTTTGTGTAGGGTGTGTGCAGGCAGGCAGGCAGCACGGCACTCTTGTGGAAGTCAGAGGACAGCTCTATAGAGTACCCTTCCATCTTGACACGGGTGGATCAAACTCAGGCCATTTCACCATGTGGGTCCCGGGGATTGAACTCAGATTGTCAGGCCATTACCCACAGAGCCACTGGCCCAGAGTTGATAGTTTTTAAGAAAAACATAAAGATGAGAAAAAAAAATACTGACAAAAGTACATCTCAATAATGGACATTTCAAGGGAATATTAGCTATTTTGTTTTTTCTCTTTATTTGTTTAATTATTTCTCCTGGGTTTGTTTGGTTGGTTGGTTGGTTTGGTTTTTTGAGACAGGGTTTCTCTGTGTAGTTTTGGTGCCTGTCCTGGATCTCGCTCTGTAGACCAGGCTGGCCTCGAACTCATAGAGATCCGCCTGCCTCTGCCTCCCCAGTGCTGGGATTAAAGGCATGCACCGAGGCTAGCTAGCCTGGTCCCCACAACATAAACCAGCCTGGCCTAGAAGTCAAGATTCTCTTGGCTCAGCCTCCCAAGCCCAAGATTGTACAGTATTACCATGTGTTTTCTCTTGCTTAATCTCCCCTCCTCTTCCCTTAAGAGTCTCTTTGAAGATCATTTTACTTGCTAAATGTTAGGATATAAAGCAAATAGATACTACTATGACAGCCAGTCCAGTGAGGAGATCATAGAGACACACCACCACCTCTTACTGTTTCTTCAACCACTGGCCCCAAAGCCCTTCTGTTCTGCCGGAAAGGCAACCCCTTAAAATCCCTCGGCTGAGTGAAGAAATCATCATCCTGTGGAGGCCCAGTGCCCGCCTGCTCTTCCATCACTGGGTTACGGCTTTCCTGGGGCTAGGACTGGTCAATACCGCTGTGTTTTCTCATGTGTATTTTCTTCCTTCTGCAGAACCAAAAGGAGCCGGTGCCAGTGGTGGCGGTGGCTACGGTGGAGGCGGTGGAGGTGGCGGTGGTGGTGGAGGAGGCGGCGGTGGCGGCAGTGGAAATTTTGGAGGGGGTGGACCCCCCGGATTGGGAGGACTATTCCAGGCCGGAATGCCAAAGCTGAGGTCCACCGCCAACAGGGATAATGGTATCTGCAATTCTTTCTCTGATGTTCAGAACAAGAGGCACATGGCAGTTTGGAGGCTTGGTGGACCTACCTGAGGCTCTGCCCTTTAAAAAATTTACATTGTTTAAGATGTCACTCTGTTTTATGAGGGACTCTACAGGACCAGGCAGTCCTGTAGAGTTATGAAATATTTGGACAGTATCCTCGGGGTAGCCCATCCTCCATGCTTTTCTAAAGGGTAAGCTGGAGCCGGAAGAATGAAAAAAGGAAAGTGGGGGATGGGACCTGCCTCCCCCAGACTCTACCCAGTATCCTGGGAGTGTAGCTTTCTATGTCAGAAGACACACGTAAGTCATTTTCAGATACACCACGGAGAATGTCCTAGAAAATATAGCTACAGACCTCAATAAAGAGCAGCAGGTGTTTGCATGGCAGACATTGGGTATCACAAGCCAGTGTTCTGAGTACCAATAGGACATCCCTTGTCTGAAATCCTGGAGAGTCATATTTTGAACCTCAGACGCTGCAGTATTGGCATGACCGTGATGATACAGCTTGAGGACGGGACTCAAGCCCATCACAGAATTCACTTAGGTTTCAAAGAGGCCTTGTACACTCAGCTTGAAGGTGAGCTCAAGTCCAGACCTCTTGTGTTCACCGGACGTCGAAGTCACTGGTCCTCAGCGGTGGCTGGCTAAGGGGCCTCTCTTGCCAGTCTTGTATTCAAATATAAAATAATTTCCCTAAAACACAGAAAGGGATGTTAGGCAGCTGCCAGATGCATGAATTTGGTGCTTTAACAAAGGTCAAGAAATCAAAGAGAAGGAGGTAAAATGAAGAAGACGTTGAGGTCAGTGCCGGCAGACGTGGCGCTGTTTTAAGATAGGTGGTGACTGGAGCATAAGCCGGTGACTCAGGTTATATCACCTAGTCCAGATAAAGACAGCTTTACAAGGCTAAAATCACGATTAAAGATCATCTCAGGTTCATGTGACTCCACTGAAGAAACCCATCCAAGTGCTTCTTATGTAGGGGAAAAAACCTAACTCCTTCTGGCCTACAAGGCTCTTAGTCGCCTGGCCAGTGGGGCTCCATTTCCTGTGGATTCGATCTTCCCGGGCTGTGGCACCCAGGCTTCTGTTTGGAGTGTGACACTTCTGTCCATGTCAGGGTCTTTGTGCCCACGGGCCCTCACTGCCTCAAGTACACTCTGCCTCATCTTCCCCAAGCTGGTCACTTCCTGTTAGGTCTCAGCTCCCAAGCCTATCTCTCCCTCCCACACAGAGACTGACTTTGGAGTAACCGCATTCACTCACCTAAGATGACTGATTAAATTGTGTTTCAAATCCGAGAAATACGAGGACCAGAGGCAGTCTCCAGCCCCCATCATATCTGACCTCTCTTGATTTGGCTTCTCTTTAGTGCTAACATCTGTTAGAAAAAACTCTCTACCAGCTTATCATTTGTCTCCCCATAAGAATATAAAATACAGGAGAGAACTTTTGTGTTTTGCTTATCCAGCTGTTTCTAACATCTAGAAAAATGGGTGTACAGTAAATATTTGTACATTATTTAATTCACAATTGAAGTGAAAGATGTTTCAGTGGTAACCACTTTTTCAGGAATTTCTTGAGGGAGCTGGAGAGACAGCTCAGGACTTAAGAGCACTGGCTGCTCTTCCAGAGGACCTGGGTTTGAGCCCAGCACCTTCATGGCATGACAAGGCCAACTCCAGAGGATCCATGTAAACATGTGATGCACATATGTAACATTCGGGCAAAACACTCAGAATCATAATATAAACATAAGTGAATCTTTAAAAAAATGAAAAAAGAATTACTTTGGATTTCAGACTTGGGAGGGGCTGTTTAGATTCCATTTCTCCTTTCCCCTTAGTTCTTCCTTAATCATTTAGTTCGGCGGAATATCCACTACACTTGCTGAACAAAGGCCTCACAGAATTGTTACATCCAAGTGTGTGTGTGTGGGGGGGGGGTGTTGCCTACTTCTTTGCAAATGAAGTTCTTACTGGTTTCAATTTTTCCTTCCTAGTTTTTTTTTTCTTTTAATGCACTAAGTCACACACACACACACACACACACACACACACACACACACACACACACCTTGAGCATTTTTTTTCTCAAGGGGACTAGGTAAACCGGCCCACACAGAGACTGACTTTGGAGTAACCGCATTCACTCACCTAAGATGGCTGACTAAATTGTGTTTCAAATCCGAGAAATACAAGGACCAGGGAAATAAAGAGGGCAGTGGGGGGCCACGACTGCTATTAGCACAAATCTCCACAGGCTACGCACACCTTCTTCTGGGCAGTCAGAGACCTCTCCAGAACTCTCACCACGGACAGACACTTCAGTGCATTCTTTTGAAAGTCTGGCTGTAAAACCTGTACCTGGAAGATAGACAGAGCTCTATGTCTCTGCCTCCAGGAGACCCACACAAACATATCAAATAGTGTAAGGTTAGAAAGCTAGCAGATTGGCATAGCTCTGTGGGAAAGGGCCAGCACCCACCCTTGCCCTCTGGCTTATTCGGGGCCACTCGCTTTTCGAGCCGGTGTCTGTTTTCTCTTGTTCTTTAGATTCTGGAGGAAGCCGACCACCGATTTTGCCACCAGGAGGAAGAGCCACATCTGCCAAGCCCTTTTCGCCCCCGAGTGGCCCTGGGCGGTTCCCCGCACCCTCACCAGGACACAGGAGTGGTCCCCCAGAGCCACCCAGGAACCGAATGCCTCCCCCCAGGCCTGACGTGGGCTCAAAGCCCGATAGCCTCCCCCCTCCGGTACCAAATACGCCGAGACCCATTCAATCGAGTCTGCACAACCGGGGATCCCCGGCAGGGCTGGGGGCCCCCAGGCCCCCCTTTCCCGGAAACCGAGGTGCTGCTTTTGGAGCAAGCTCTGTGCGTCAGAACCCTTCGGGCTCCTCCTCTCCATTCTCCAGGCCCCCTCTGCCCCCCACCCCCAGCCGAGCCTTGGATGACAAGCCTCCTCCACCGCCTCCTCCGGTGGGCAACAGGCCCCCCATCCACAGAGAAGCCGTCCCATCTCCTCCCTCACAGAACAGCAAACCTCCAGTGCCTTCCACCCCACGGCCCGGGTCCGGGTCCCAGGCACCACCTCCTCCGCCCCCGCCCAGCCGGCCGGGCCCTCCTCCCCTGCCCCCGACTTCCAACGATGAGATCCCAAGGCTGCCCCAGCGGAACCTGTCCCTCACCTCCTCGGCACCTCCTTTGCCTTCACCTGGACGCTCCGGGCCTCTCCCTCCCCCACCCAACGAGAGGCCCCCTCCTCCAGTGAGGGACCCGCCAGGCAGATCAGGTATGGCAAGACTGGGGGCATCATGTCCCCGAAACCCTCCTCCCCCCAATAGCTCAAGCAACGCTTAAGAGCAAGTAAAGCCTTGGCTGCTGCACAGTTGGTAGGCTGCCAGGGTGGAGACACGGTAAACCTCGAGGAAGGGGCCAGATAGCTTGTGCCTAGGAAGTGAGCAGACTGGCCGGCCAGCGGGTCCGCAGTTGGTGGTGAAAAGGCAGGAACGTTCATATTCCACCCTGCCCTGCTCTGCTAACCGGAAGCTGGGCTGACTTGGTTGGGAGTGAGTTCCCATCTCCCTCTTCCTACGTCTCTCTCTCCCTAAGGCAGACTTCGAGTGCACTTCTCTGCACTCAAGACAAATGTTTAAAAACGCAGTTTAGGCGAGCAGGAAAGGGAGCATGTTCAGAGGTTAAGAGCACTTCCGACCATTAGTAACGAATGTCCCAGCAAAAGCCTGTAGCCCCAGCTCAGAGGGCTGCCAGAGACGGAGGATTTCTGCGGCTTGCTGGCTCCCAGCCCAGGCTCGAAAACGGGAGCCCCAGGTTCAGGAAGAGACTCGAGGCTCATATATTATATTTTTGAAGAAAAAAAATGTTTCAAATGAGTTGGTAATATATATCGCTATTTTATATATATATATATATATATTTTTTTTTTTTGAGACAGGGTCTCACTATGTAGCCCTGGCAGGCCTGGAACTCATTCTGTAGACCAGTCTAGCCTTAGACTCACAGAGATCCATCTCCCTCTGCCTCCAGAGTGCTGGATTGTCTGTAGTAAGAGGTGGCAGCTATAGGGACCCAAGCTCCACAGCCTGCTGGCTGCACACTCGGGCGCAGGACCCGCCACCTACTGTCTGTGGATCCGCAGTTTGTCACTCCCTGTGCTTAGCTGCACCTCTCCGCCCTCCCACCCCACCCCCACCCCCAAGAGGAATAACCTAGAAGTGACTCCCACAGTTCTCCAGATGACCATGTTTGGTTTCCTGGTGCCACTTTCTCCTGGACACAGATCCTGTGTATCACGGAAATATGCTTGTGTGATCTGCCATAATATACTACACATCTAAAAACTTCGTGCTGGGGCCAGCAAGATAATGGGCTCAGCCAAGTTAGAATGTTTGTGACTCAAGCCTCATGGCCCGAGTTTGATCCCCGGAATCCAGGTGTAGATGACAGGGAAGGATCGACTCTCCAAAGTTGCCCTCCGACCTCCTTATGGGAGCCATGGCACGCACGCGCGCGCACACACACACACACACACACACACACACACACACACACACAAATAGTTTATTTTTTTATTTAAAAAACTTAGTTCTTCTAAAGACCTAAACTAATTTTATAACTATTTTACTCCTTTTAAAAATTTCTTTTTATGGTGTCACAGTAATTAGTTCAATAACTTTAAAGGATAAAGTGCTTTTTAAATGCCATGGTTGTCAATATAAATAGAGTATCTGTTTTCAGTTTCACTGGTCTTTAGTCTCAGTGGTAACTTGAAGCCACACAGCAGCAGGTTAGCTGCCATTGTATACACTTACTCCACATATCCACGTGGCTGTATGTCCGCTTCCTGTTGATATCCGGGACCAGAACGGCTCCACCAGTTCTCATTTTCCCTAGTTAAAGGGTGTGTATTCAGCAGGCGCTCCACCTTGCACAGTGATGATGACCACGGTGGCAATGTGGATATAAGGCGGCGCGTCACCGAATGTCTTGTCTCTTGATCCAGGCCCCCTCCCTCCACCACCTCCGATAAGCAGAAATGGAAGTGCACCCCGGGCCCTGCCTGCCACCCCTCAGCTGCCATCCAGGAGTGGAGTGGACAGCCCCAGGAGCGGGCCGAGGCCTCCTCTTCCTCCCGACAGGCCGGGTGCCGGGGCGCCGCCCCCACCTCCACCATCAACATCAGTTCGAAATGGCTTCCAAGACTCATCCTGTGAAGGTGTGTGATGTTTGCTTATTTCAAGTGCTTCTTCTGGTTCTGTCATTGTTATCCATACTGCACCAAACTGACATTTAGTTCTAACTAACTAACTAACTAACTAGCTGACATAGTGAGGCTCACTAGTCCTGTGGTGATAGCCTTTCTCTCCCACTTTCCAAAAAGCCAGCTCGTTTTTTTCTCCTTTGTCCCTCGTTTGAGTTTCAGTGTGGCTAACTCACCAGTTCCAACGTAATTCACCGGAGATTTTGTCACGGTTGTTTCGTGTTTGTAAATTACCGTCTGATGGCCTGCATTTCTGCACAGCTGGCTGTAAGGAACAGTGGCCCACGGTTGTTAAGTTGCTTCCCTCTGCCGGGTTAGGCTCAGCAACTGTTCTCCCAGAGGACCTGGGTTTGATTTCTAGAGACCACGGGGTGACTCACAACCATGTGTAACTCCAATTCCAGGTGATCAGATCCAGTGCCCCCTCTGGCCTTCACAGGCACAGGGTACATGCATACATGATACATAGACATACATGCAGCCAAAACACCCATACACATAAAATAAAAATAAGATGAAAAGATTTTAAATGTACCCGTTATTCCTGGGCCCAGCGGTGGGAAGAAAAGCGCCCTGTATCTTAGCCTCCATCTCCTGAGAGAGACCTGCTGGATTCGATATCACCCCAGATCCGATCATTTTGCTTTGTTTTGCAGGCCAGGATCAGTGAGGGAGCCGGGCACACGGGTCACACTGTCAGCTTCTCTGTGCACTTCCAGCCACGAAACCGGGGCTGGTTTCTGAGCCGTCTGTCTCTTTGCCTTTCTTCCCCGAGTCTTCCCAGCAGATTTCTTGTGCTGAGGTTGTTTGTTTCTCCCCCAGATGAGTGGGAAAGCAGATTCTACTTCCACCCGGTTTCTGATTTGCCACCTCCAGAACCATATGTGCCAACAACCAAGACGTATCCCAGCAAACTGGCCAGAAATGAAAGCCGGAGTAAGTACCTCCAAGGGGGCATTGTGCAGGCTCGCACCGTGAAAGCCTGGGCTCCCCCTGAGTTGCACAGGAATGCCAGGCCTCTTGCCTGGAGTGGAACAGAAAGCCCCTGCTTGGAGATGTCTGTGCGCTGGTAGCCTCTCAAATATACCCAGAGTGGGAAATGACCCTCTGAAGGTGACATTACCAGCTCAGAATGCCGCTGACATATCAGTGTTAAGTTCTCTTACTTGGCTTCTTTGAGTAATCTCCCCCATTTTGACCTTCCTAGGACAGCAAAGGTCAATCCATCTTCTTCTATTCCTTCTAGTTTGAGACTGGCGAAATGTCATGTAAATTAAAACAGAACACTGCCTTGATCTTTTAAATGTATTGTGACCACAGTTTTGTGGTTATGGTGTCTGAAAATGTTGAATAGATCTACAATCTCACAGAGCAGATACTTTCTTTCTACCAGATCCTCTTCCTGTTGCTATCCATCTCGTTCTGACTTTTTACACAGTGGAAACGACAGTAGGCCATTTTCGGTGGTCGGTTTTTGCATCACATTGCTGAGTAAACACGCCCCTGTATTATCACACGGTTTTAGTCCACGGGCGTCCATTAAGTCTGCGTGGAAGACTTAGCCAGCGTTGCACATTTGGATGGTTTCCCATTGCTTGCTAATGTCTGCACTGCCTGCCATAATGAAGCGCATCATTCCTCCCCTGTAGAAGAAGCAATGTGAACACAAGGTGAACAGACACATTGGAATCTCACAGCACTACCTGCACAGGACAAAGGAAAAATTCACACGAAATAAGCAAAAGTAGCACTGAGGAGGTTCAAGCTCGCGGAGGCCGGGAGCTGCAGAACCAGATCCCTCAAGTCAGACAGTGGACACAGCACCCACAGCCAGGTCCGCGCTCCCTAGCAGAGTACCTCATAAACATCCAGGGCCTCCCAGTCTCTCTCAGCACACAGCTCTCACACAGCTATTGGTCTGTGAATTCCCGGCCTTTGAACAGCTGAAGACCAGTGGAAGTTAAGGCTAATTGGAGACAAAGTCACTGATTATAGGAGGAACTTAGAAAAAAATGGCAGGGTCCTGCTGGGCGGCGGCGGTGCACGCCTTTAATCCCAGCACTCGGGAGGCAGAG